TTTCCAGTACAGCATTTTTGTTGGTTTATTTACTCCTCCAATTTTTTCGGGTGCTTAGTTTCCAGTACAGCATTTTTGTTGGTTTATTTACTCCTCCAATTTTTTGGTGCTTAGTTTCCAGTACAGCATTTTTGTTGGTTTATTTACTTACTTTATTTCCAATTTTTTTGGTGCTTAGTTTCCAGTACAGCATTTTTGTTGGTTTATTTACTCCTCCAATTTTTTGGTGCTTAGTTTCCAGTACAGCATTTTTGTTGGTTTATTTACTCCTCCAATTTTTTGGGTGCTTAGTTTCCAGTACAGCATTTTTGTTGGTTTATTTACTCCTCCAATTTTTTTGGTGCTTAGTTCCAGTACAGCTCCTCCAATTTTTTTGGTGCTAGTTTCAGTACGCATTTGTTGGTTTATTTACTCCTCCAATTTTTTGGGTGCTTAGTTCCAGTACAGCATTTTTGTTGGTTTATTACCTCCCCATTTTTTTTTGGGTGCAGTTTTTTTGTTGGTTATTTACTCCTCCAATTTTTTGGGTGCTTAGTTTCCAGTACAGCATTTTTGTTGGTTTATTTACTCCTCCATTTTTTTGGTGCTTAGTTTCCAGTACAGCATTTTTGTTGGTTTATTTACTCCTCCAATTTTTTGGGTGCTTAGTTTCCAGTACAGCATTTTTGTTGGTTTATTTACTCCTCCAATTTTTTTGGGTGCTTAGTTTCCAGTACAGCATTTTTGTTGGTTTATTTACTCCTCCAATTTTTTGGGTGCTTAGTTTCCAGTACAGCATTTTTGTTGGTTTATTTACTCCTCCAATTTTTTGGGTGCTTAGTTTCCAGTACAGCATTTTTGTTGGTTTATTTACTCCTCCAATTTTTTGGGTGCTTAGTTTCCAGTACAGCATTTTTGTTGGTTTATTTACTATTTACTCCTCCAATTTTTCGGGTGCTTAGTTTCCAGTACAGCATTTTTGTTGGTTTATTTACTCCTCCAATTTTTTTGGTGCTTAGTTTCCAGTACAGCATTTTTGTTGGTTTATTTACTCCTCCATTTTTTTTTGGGTGCTTAGTTTCCAGTACAGCATTTTTGTTGGTTTATTTACTCCTCCAATTTTTTTTGGATGCTTAGTTTCCAGTACAGCATTTTTGTTGGTTTATTTACTCCTCCAATTTTTTGGGTGCTTAGTTTCCAGTACAGCATTTTTGTTGGTTTATTTACTCCTCCAATTTTTTGGGTGCTTAGTTTCCAGTACAGCATTTTTGTTGGTTTATTTACTCCTCCATTTTTTTGGGTGCTTAGTTTCCAGTACAGCATTTTTGTTGGTTTATTTACTCCTCCAATTTTTCGGGTGCTTAGTTTCCAGTACAGCATTTTTGTTGGTTTATTTACTCCTCCATTTTTTGGGTGCTTAGTTTCCAGTACAGCATTTTTGTTGGTTTATTTACTCCTCCAATTTTTTGGGTGCTTAGTTTCCAGTACAGCATTTTTGTTGGTTTATTTACTCCTCCATTTTTTTTTGTTGGTTTATTTACTCCTCCAATTTTTTGGGTGCTTAGTTTCCAGTACAGCATTTTTGTTGGTTTATTTACTCCTCCAATTTTTCGGGTGCTTAGTTTCCAGTACAGCATTTTTGTTGGTTTATTTACTCCTCCAATTTTTTTGGTGCTTAGTTTCCAGTACAGCATTTTTGTTGGTTTATTTACTCCTCCAATTTTTTTTGGGTGCTTAGTTTCCAGTACAGCATTTTTGTTGGTTTATTTACTCCTCCAATTTTTTGGGTGCTTAGTTTCCAGTACAGCATTTTTGTTGGTTTATTTACTCCTCCATTTTTTTTTGGGTGCTTAGTTTCCAGTACAGCATTTTTGTTGATTTATTTACTCCTCCAATTTTTTGGGTGCTTAGTTTCCAGTACAGCGGTTTATTTACTCCTCCAATTTTTTGGGTGCTTAGTTTCCAGTACAGCATTTTTGTTGGTTTATTTACTCCTCCAATTTTTCGGGTCCTTAGTTTCCAGCTGTTTTTTTTTAAAAATAAACTCTCCAAGATCCCACGCTTTTTTCGTGAATTACGATTTTCCAACCCGATGGCCTTCAATGAATCTCCCAAGTTGGGACCTCACCTTCCCCCAGATGAGTCTTCAATCATGATTTTTCTTGGAAGGCAGAAGCGCCAACTGTACCTGCTGAGGCAGGGAAATTATGATGTGGACTTTATCATCAAACATTGGGGGTTCCATATGCAAATGTGGTGACATAAACAACCAAGCATTTTGTTCTATTGGGATTTATTGTCATTCACATGTATACATACACATATACAATATATATATATTTATACATACATGTGTATATATATATATGTACATACTGTATACATACATACATATATATATATATATATTAAATGAGGATTTAGCCATCAAACGTAGGGACGAAGCCAATCATTAATGCCATTTCTACATACAGAGGTCCAAATTGGACGGCTGATATCGGCTGATTAGATCCCGTTCTGCTGATACCCTGACTTATCCTTTGACGATTTATGGTGATTTACCTGTTAAATATGGTTATTTTCCAGTTTGCTACGTTAAAGGGTATCATGATCACCATATTTAGCAGGTAAATCACCATATTTAGCAGGTAAATCATCAAAATATGATGATTCCCCAGTTGTGTTTAAGCCAAATCCAAAAAATCATAAGACCACATAAACTCCCAGCTGTTAGTTAGTGAACTATACAACCCCAGCTGTTGGTTACTGTTGATACCCATGGGCTTTTTTGGGAAAGCTATCTATAAATGGTGCATTTTCCTAATATTCCCAATAAAAAAAAACACATGATATTCCTATCATATTCCAAAAAAGAACTAGCTATTCCAATGCATATTCCAATGAATATATTTCTATAGTATATACACATGATATTCCTATCATATTCCTATCATATTCCTATCATATTCCTATCATATTCCCATAATGCCCAGTACCATCATCCCATTCTTCCTATGTCTTTACGCTGGGTAACCCCTCATACAGCTCCCTGAGGCAGCTCCGGAAGTCCCTGCAGTGGAGGCGCCAATAGCTGGTTGGTTGGTTTATTTCATGGAACATCCCATCTATAAATGGATGATTTAGATGATAGTTAGGGGTACCCCCCATGACTTTGGAAACCTCCATATTATGTGTGCCTTCCTTTTTTGCCGCACGAAATTGTTCAGTTCTAAGAGTTGCTGGATCTCTTCATTGTAGTCTCTGGGTCTGGGAGTGTGGTGCATGGTCTGCCTGACCAAAACCGGAACGTGATTTCACACCCTAGCCTAAAAGATCGCCGGGTTGCAAATGTGGGATCATTTTTGATAGTAGGTTTGAGAACGACTTGATGAATGGGTTGATTATGGCCTGAATCATGGCAAAACAGGCGTGCCGCATTCGTGAAGTGTTGGCAGTTTCAGCCATCCTTGCAAGGCCAAATTTTGATGTGACTAAAATCGGCGCGAAAATCGGCGCATGATTTTAGCACCACTAAGTGGTATGGCTATTATAATTAACTTTAAAGCAACTGAGGACACTCATAGAATTAGACAGCATTTACCCTCTGGTTATTTAACATAGCCATGGAAAATCACCATTTTTAATAGGTAAACCATCTATTTCTATGGGCCATCTATACCATGGCTATGTTAAATAACCAGATGGTATTTAAACCACTAAAGTCATGGCGATTCAAAGTCATGGAGCCACGTCGTTTGCCTCACCATTTGGTGATTTTTTCAGGCCACAGAAGCACCAGCAGCACCTGCAGAACCCGAGGTGACTTTGGAATCTCTCTGGCAATAGATCCAGTACTAAATCACAGTTCTACTTGGTGGCTCATCCCACTTAGTAAGTGGGTTATAACTGGGGTTATAAATGGGATTTTTGTAGGGTATTCATCCACTTATAATTGGGGTGAACTAACCCACTTACGAGCCGTGGGATGAGCCACAGTTCTACTTGGTGGACAGAGCAAGTTTTTCGTGTACATCCGGGAATTCTATTCCGTAAAATATCACCATCACCAGTTGTATATATATATATATATATAGAGATACAAGTATATACATACCCGGTTCTTCAAAAAAAACAGCCATCCCATGAAGTACCACACCATAGAGGTCATGTCCCCCCCCGTCCCCCAATTCAATGTTGTCTTCTGAATTTTGTGCTCGGCGGCCTTCAAAAAAAACAGCCATTTCTGTTGATAATGCTCGGCACTTCCGATCACAACATTGAAGTTGGGGGTTGCGGGGGTAAGCAAGGTATCTCTGCGGTTTCAAGTGGATGGCTGTTTTTTTGAAGAACCCGGTATCTCCACGAGGGATTTGTTGCCCCACTCTCCACTTTGGGTTGCAAGGAGTTAGATGGGGAGCATCCCAGACAGTGCCCTTGGTTCATAAGTTGCCAATTTCTGGGCTGTAGCCACTTTTTTCGCGTTCCCGGGTTCGTGAATTTCACCAACAGAAAATGGTGATTCAACCACTAAGAACTAAACATTAACATTTCAGCAAGAACAAAACAAGCTTTAACTGGTTGAATCTGGGAATTTGCATAACAAAATTTGGTGACGAACTTCGAACTATAGCAACAATTGGAATGCAACCAAGTGAAACTGGGATTTCAGTCACAAAAGCAGGGTCTTTGAGCATTTGCCAAAGATGGTTTCTTCATATTTTAAGAGCTCACAAACTCTTTTGCAGGCCACAGGTATCTGGGATCAACAACGTAATGCTTGGTTTGTTGGTAGCCATTATTCGTGGCTATACTATCCTATACTATGCTATACTGCCATTTGTTTACCCCACCAATTCCTCTGTTGAAATTTGGACGTTTCCATACAAGTTGTCGACTGGTCGCGATTGAAGGAACAGGTTTGTCCTAGTAATGGGCAGGTTTCTGCAAGAGCGTGCTGCGCTTGCTTCGAAGGGTAGACACCAACGACTGCATATTTTCTTAGCCGTTTTGGCTCATTCGTTTGGCCCACTAGGTGCCAAGTCTCTACCTCCCAATGGTTTCTGCCGGCCCCGGTCACACAGTACTCCTCAGAGGCGATGGCAATGCTGTGGCTTGCGGAAGGAATGATTTTGGACAATGCGACATTCCACATTTGGAAGACGGGATAAAATATATGCAGGTTTCTGCAGGCAGTCTTCATACAGTACTTCTCAGGAGTGATGACGTTGCTGTGACTTGCGGAACGAATTGGTTTGAACAATGCGACATTCCGCCGTTACCTGATGGAATGACATACACCCAGGTTTCTGCAGGCATGCATCACACAGTACTTCTTAGAAGCGATGGCGTTGCTGTGGTTTGCGGAATGGATGGTTCTGGACAATGCGACATTCCACCGTTACCTGATGGAATGACATACACCCAGGTTTCTGCGAGCATTTTTCACACAGTACTTCTTAGAAGCGATGGCAACGCTGTGGCTTGCGGAAAGAATGATTTTGGACAATGCGACATTCCACATTTGGAAGACGGGATAAAATATATGCAGGTTTCTGCAGGCAACGATCACACAGTACTTCTCAGAAGTGATGGCGTTGCTGTGGCTTGCGGAAAGAATGATTTTGGACAATGCAACATTCCGCCGTTACCTGATGGAATGACATACACCCAGGTTTCTGCAAGCGTGTATCACACAGTACTTCTCAGAGATGATGGCAATGCTGTGGGTTGCGGAAGGAATAATTTTGGACAATGCACCATTCCACAATTGGATGACGAAATTTCATATACCCAGGTTTCTGTCGGCAACCATCACACAGTACTTCTCAGAAGTGATGGCGTTGCTGTGGCTTGCGGAGCGAACGGTCAAGGACAATACAACATTCCGACTCTTTATCCGGGGACTTGGTACGCTGCAGATGTGTCAGTTGGTAGAAACCTTGTGTTGCAACTAGATTGTTCTTGCCAAGCTGATGCTATGCTGCTGACTTTCTCTGGTTTGACTGGAGACGAAGTGATGCGCTTGAATGCAAGTCCATCTGATCCTGCCTGGAACACTCACAAGCACATTGCGCATGAATTGAAGGTTCCACTCCAAAGTCTTCGAGTGGTTTTACCCGATGGACAGTTGTTGGCCGCAGCCTGCCGTGCGAACCCGGGAGCTAGCCTTGCAGATGTCATTGAAACTCGCAAGCGTCGGCGTCTCACCTAGGTTCGGAGCGGAATTGGATCGGAAAAGTTGAGGTCCTAGAGGAAGGGCCCCTCTAGATAGGTAAGTTGGATTGGTTTTACCTATGGAACAAGAGAGGTGTATCCAAAAAATCACCTCCAGTTGACCATAGTTTTGAGCCAACTGCAGATCCACCATTTACCCATCACCAAAAAACGTTCTGTAAGAATGACCCGTGCTTGAACAAGTGGCGACCGGGTCTGCAGGGTCCTGGGTCCCCTGGGTAGCTGCGGACGATGATGGTACATGACTCGCAGCATTTTTTGTTGACCACGTGCAGGTATGGGTTCATGCAATATATATATAAACTATGGATTATCAATTCCACTTTTGTGAGTTTATCATATTTTCATTTTAGACCAAACGAAATCCAAAAAAGTTACGGCTTTTGGATCTTTCCATGGAACAAATTGGGCTGTACATACCGGGTTCTTCAAAAAAAACAGCCATCCCATGAAGTACCGCACCATAGAGGTCATGTCCCCCCCGTCCCCCAATTCAATGTTGTCTTCTGAATTTTGTGCTCGGCGGCCTTCAAAAAAAACAGCCATTTCTGTTGATAATGCTCGGCACTTCCGATCACAACATTGAAGTTGGGGGTTGCGGGGGTAAGCAAGGTATCTCTGCGGTTTCAAGTGGATGGCTGTTTTTTTTGAAGAACCCGGTATGTGTATATATATATATACATTGAGCAGGGGGCAATGCGTCGTCAGGGAATGTTTCGTCACAATGCGTCGTCAGGGGGGCTGGGGACATCGCCAATGTGTCGTCACAATGCGTCGTCAGCGTCAGCGCCAAATGTCATACCCAAGCTGCGGGTGCCCTGTATATATATAAATAAATAAATATACATATATATATATTGTGAATCTCAGACCCTTGAGATTGGATTCCAAGTCACCTGCAAAGACCCTGCTCTGCTGTTTTGTTCCGCAACCTCCGTGGCTCCTCTCCCTCCCACCACTGTGGGAATGAAATGGCAAGGCCGAGCATTGGAACATGCGAGGACGGCAAAGCAGCATGATGGACCAAAAGGCACAAACTAGGTGAGTTTGACACTCCTCTTTATTGACTACAACCCTTCCCTTCTACAAAGAACGTTGTTGTGCCAGTCCAAAATTGCTCTTGCCTTTGGTATGCATTTGTGCCGACCCAGAAATCCTTGTCCAACCTATTATCACCAAAATTAGTTACCCTCTGGGCACTAAGACATCTGACATCCACAGGACAATCAGCTAACCCAATAGGTGTGAACTTGACATTTCGTGGTCGCCTATGAACTCTAATCAACTCTGACTTGGATCCCCAGGTCCAAAAATCATGCAACAACGGATCTTGTTTGGATATGGAACTGTACATGCATGGAACAGCTGTCGGAGAAACTTTGTCTTCAGTCTGGTGTGCAGACGAATGGCTCTTGACCCATTCAATCCGCTGACGACGGTCCAGTCTCTCCTTGAGGACATGATTCTCATCCCTCAGACAGTATTTTCCAGACTTCAAACACTCTCGAAGCACTTGTGAATCCATTGTTTTCGTCAGGCAATCTGACAGCATGGCCTGTGACGACACCCAGCGTGCCAAACAGTTCTCCTGCAAACGTTCTCTTATCAACAAACATTCGATAGTCGTGCGATGCTCTGAACACTGAGGAATTGCTGTACGAGTCAACAAGTCATACAAACTTCTACAGTCAGTCACTACCGCAGATTTCTTTTCATGTTGGAGAAGCTTTTCTGGTTCACGCCAGTTGCATAGAGGATTTTTCATCCATGCCCAAAGAACTCTAATCCACAGAAGCCTGTCAATGGAGTTACACAAAGCTGCTGCCTCTGCCCCTAGCGTACTTCTCACCACCCTGGGAATCTTTTTACTGGTCCAAGCAACCGGAGCTACCACAGTCCTACGATTCTCTATGAGTTCAGGAGTAGTGGCAAAGATAAGGGTTCCCTGGTGAGCATTATTCTGTTTGTTTGAGAGAAAGGACGCATCTGAAAAGGCACAGTAAGTCACCTCGTTTGGGGCAATGGGCAAAACCATAAGTGACACCTTATGTTGTTTGGCCTCCATCAGTACCTTGTTGGCTAACAGCAGTTCATTGACTGTGGCCTTGACAACTGATGATTGCAACTCACCAACTTTCGCTGAAATGTCTGGTCTTGTGTGGACCGCTGCATACTGTAGAGCTCCTATGAGGCTGCGCAGAGAGCTTCTCTCTTCGCTGGTCACTTCTGCATTTGGTTGCAGCCGTCTTGTTTTCGGAACTGAGATAGGAGATATTTTGTCAATGTATTCAACCTGGTCGTACTCAATGCTACAGTCATCCCACTGTTTGAAATGGATCCCTGTGTACTTGAATTCTCCTTTCTCAAACGCCCCAAATTTAAAACGGTTCTCTACCCTACGCAGCATGTCATGAAACTTTTTGTCCCCACCGGCAATGCCATCATCGACATGTATGCCCAAAGCTCCATGGCATTTCATGCCACCTGCTCCATCAGGGGAATACAGACCAAACACGCATGGGTCCAAAGGGCATTGGGTGCATCCTTGTTTGATCAATTCATCTCTAAACTCACAGTACCACAGATAGGGTGCGTCGATACGCCCGTATGCCCCTCCATCCAGGGCACACTGATCTCCTGGGCCCATCTGCAAAGCTTCCCTCAGTTCAGGAGTCGGATGAATTCCCAATTCCCTACCATCACCTCGACCATGCAAGAAAGCTGTACTGACGTCGAAGGAAATTAGTTGCCATTGGTTTGAGGCCACTGTTTGAAGCACAGCCATCCTACCATCCTTTGTCAAAGTAGGAGCATCATTACTGACAACATCAATGTCTGGGTCCTCATAGCCAATGATTACCAAGCGTGCTTTGGCTCTTTGACCATCTTTGGAGAGCTCAGAAGGAGCTTCAGTGCCCGCTGCATCTTTCCAATTTAGAATCCACCTGCACCTCATGAGTGCATGTTCAGGAATTCTACCCTTTGACACCTTCCTGACGGTTTTGTGATGTAGCCAGGCTCCAATCTCCTTGTGTTTTGCTGCCGCAAACAAACGTTGTTCGTGCTCTCCAAGCTCTTTGAGCTTGACTTCGACGCGCTTCTTTCTCATTTCAGAAGCGATGAAAGCAATCTCTTCATTTGATTGTGGAGGTTCTTCTGAAGCCCAAAACTTTTCCAAATCCCTTTCGGGGGTGATGTCTATCTCCCAACACTTATCCCCTTCTCCAAAAACACCCTCAAAAACATCCCAAACATGGCATCCTCTTCTGATAGTTCACCGGGTTTAGCTTCGGGTATTGGAGCCGTTAAGGGATCTGATTCCCCATCAACAACTGATTTGGGAACGTCTTGAGGGTCCCCGTCTTCTTCTGCAATTGCAGGGCCAGACTCGGACGCAGAGCTCGGAATTTGTTCAGGTTCCGGAAGACTGTTGGTTTCAGGCATTCCTTCATCCCCCAAAACTTCATCCACACCAGGTAACTCATCACCAAGATCAAAGAAATCATCATGTTGGGACCTCTTCAACCAATTGACAGTAGGGTGCCTGGCTTCTTCCGTGCTTTGCACAGCCTTCCATTCCCTGAAAGACGCCGCCCGCAATTGTTCTGGGCTTGCCCTGATCAAACGATTTGCATGTGTAAGCCAGATTACTTTGGAACTTTCAACAACAGCCACCCTAGCAGGTCCATGCCACTTTCCTCTCTCTCTCCTCATGTTACCCCCAACCTTTCTCCAATACAAGACCCAATCCCCTACTTCATAAGGATCTCTCAAGGGGCGACTTCTTCGCAGCAAAGCCCTACGCAAGGAACTGCTGTTGTCGGCCTCTACAAAGGCCTTTCTGGCTGAACATCGGAGATCGAGGGTTTTCCGAAATTTGTCACTTTCATGTCCCTCAGCCGTGGCCAAAACGTGGCTGGAGGCACTTTCGCCGGAAATGATTGATGCAGGCAACCGTCGAGCAAAACCAAGAACAGCCTGTTCAGGTGTATAACCCTTGATTCTTGACATGGTGTTCTTAGCGTTGAAGACCTGTCGAAGAGCCCGACTGAAATCTGCATTATCCTTGATGGGAACTTCGGCATTCATCCTATCCAGCATTTTCTTGACTACATGACCATGAGACTCGACCCTCCCCAATTGCCAATGAGAATCAGCTGCAGTCATCTTCAACTCAATATCCTCACTCTGCATTCTTGACAACCATGGGGTCCCCGTATACTCAGTTGCTGGATCAAGGTAAATTTGACGGGGTGGTCCTGCCCAAGAAAGCCATAGTTCTTCAAAACACTTGATTTGTGATTCAGCATCATCAGCACACAGACGACCCAGATGAAACAGTGTTCCCTCATCCAACGCATGAAAGAAACTGAAAGCTGTCCCCTGATCATTTTTCCAAACAGCTTTATCCATCCCAACTATCTCATTAAACCCCAAATTGGAATGAATAGCTGAAGGTTTGGACAGAGAGAACCCTTGTCGTGTTTCACTGCAGGCATCGCATTGAAATTCTAGTGCCCCTGCAATGATGTGCGGGTCGGCATGTGTGTCCTTTAAGAACCTGGCAAAACGGCTTGGATCAGGATGACCCATCCTGTGATGAACCCGACGAAGCCATTCTTTTTCCTCTCGGGTAAGTTCAAGAAACTTGGGTCCATGTGAAGCAATCCCCTTTGGTGGATACCCCTCCTTATACTGATCCCCAAAGTCCCCTGAATCTACCTTCTCAGACTCTTCAGTTTTGGCTTCAGTCGGAACCTCACCTCCTTCGGGACAGTGTCGTTTTTCACTGTCAGGTTCCAGGTTCACACCAGGACGTTTGAGACTGACAGGCACATCATCATCTGTCCTTTCTGGTTCCTGTGCTGATGATTCTGCACCTGTCGCTTGAGTGGAACTCGATGAACCCTTTTTCTTTCCAAAAACAGTCAAACAAAGCTTTGCTGGTTTGGATCTCAAAGTTCTCCTAGTTTTTGGAAGCTTCAACCATTCTTCAGGTTCACCGATTTCTTCCACTTCCCCGGTGTTTCGATGCATGATGAACGTGTGACGCAAAGGAACTTCAAGATCATCATATGACCCTTTTGGAACACGGAATCGATCTGTTCCCCGACAAATCTCAGCCGCTGTCACTTCAAAGGTGGAACACAGTTTTTGAGCATCCCCAAGCAATACTTCCCCATTTCCCAAAATCACAGTACCAGCTCTAGGGGCCCTTAACTGAATCCTACGAAAAACATCCTCCAAGAACTTCTTTCGGGGTGCCTTTCGGGTTAGATCACCACTTGTTTCCACCTCTGTTGTGGTCACTCGCTTCAATCTGCATCGCCGCGCTTTGATTTCGCCGGCAAAAGCCAATTGCTCTTGGGATACTGATGGTTCCAAACACAACTCAGACAGCTCCAAAGGAAGTTCCCCAGAGACACGACTCCTCAACAAATACCAACAAACGTTCTTTGCAAAACCATTTGAATACCTGGCAGCATATTCTGACAAATTGACCCATTTCCCAAGATATTTGACTTTGCCCTCAATTGGTTGGTGATTGTGTCGCTGCTTGCAGTACCTCGAGTCCAAGATTTCATGGAGCTCTCGTGAAGTCGTGTGCACTGCACTACGTTTTCGAAGAAAATTGTTTCCTTTGGGGACCTTGAGTCTTCCTACTTCACACATGTCAAACTCAGCTCGCAAAGTACCCTGAACAATCTCTTCCATCATCTTTTGTTCAAAAACCTCTGAACCTTGTGGTTGCTCCATGTGGAAATGCCTACCATGAACTACTTGATACTCATAGACCTCATCACAAAGTTTAAGATGTGTCTGTTCTGCTTTGCGACCATGTAGTATTCGATCTCGAGCTGCAGCGCTTCGACACATGTTCAAGCGGCTGAAGTTTCCCCAGAGTTTACACTCTGGAGACATCCAGACATCACGAGGGCATTCTTCCAGCAAAATTTTCCAAAGCGCTTCTTGGCCTTGGGCTGTAGACAAGTCTCCGTCCTTTAAGGTGAACCTTCTTGCTCTTAAACCCATCTTAGAAGCCACACTGGTAAGGTTGGAATTTTCCCCGCAGTAAACTTCCAGAAGGTCCAGCTTGCATGTTCTGGACATTGACTTTCTGCGCAAAGGATTGACTTCCCACGCCAGTGCCAGCATCGCATCCAGGTTATCTTCAATCTCAATGGACAACTGATCTAACTTCTTCTGGCATTCTGCCACAACATTTTGTGAAGAAGTGGACACACTGTCACCTGGTGAACTGCAATGAGATGCTGGAGTCACTGATTCAGGACCACTCAGGACTCGTTCGACTTCTTGATCATCTCGAGCTCGCGCTGAAGGGATCGCGATCTTGGTCATCAACTGCGTCTCTCGATCGACATCTCGAGACACCATCATTTCGTTCCCCTTGCCCTCTGGACTCAGAGCTCTCTTCGTGGTTGCTGGCAAATCGTACTCGGGATCCATGAGCTCCCATCCCACACCTGACACCTCGTGATGCCATGGCGGTACACTCATGTCCATGGGCGATGATGCCTTGGCCTTTGTCTTTGGCAAGGGCACCACTGGGTCCTGGCTTTCTCCCATTTGCATCGCTCTGGTGTAGTTCTGGTAACTCAGGGCCCAGGCTGACGTCAAATGAGAGTGGTTCATCATGTACATCCTGTACTTCACATCCTTGTCGTAGACCTTCCGAAAAGTCTCCCCGGCATACTTTCCCTCCGGGAACATTTGCTCCCCCCATTGGCTGAGAGTGGAGATTCCTTGAGGTCGGCGCATCTGAGGACGAAGAGGGTTGGCATAGTTCAGATTTCCATCCTCCGGTATCTGAAGCTCTTTGTCCAGGCGCGACGTCGATGAAGCTCCCGTCTGGGAAGGGATGCCCTTGGAGTACGCCATGGTGAACGTTTCGAGAGCGATCTTGAGCGAATTGTCGAGCTCGATGGTGAGCCACTTCAGCTGCTGTACTCACATTGATTTCATCTGCTGCTGCTGACATGTTTGTGTTGCATGTGTTTTTCATGTTCATTTCATTACTCACATATGTCACGACTTCACAGCTGCCCGCGACCTGACGTTTTCCGTCAGATTTTGCAAACACTTTCAAAACTTCCGACAGTTCCACTGTGAAAAGACCTTTGGCGTTCACTTGCAATGGAACCTTGCAGCCTTGCTGATGAAAAATTAGTTCACTGTTTCGTGACGAAACGTCGGCTGATGTTGCTTTGAGGAAAGCATTTGACAACAAAAAGGGGGTATCTCCTGAAACCACCTCCAAACGCATCCAACAACCACCAAAAGGAATATACAAAGCACCAACACTGGACAAAGTTGCATTATTCCCAAACCGAAAAACAGTATCCGACTTTCCCCATTGAACCCGACTCTGCACGTTTGCCGGAAGACTGGCAATCAACCTTTTCACCTTGCGTTGTCCAATCACTGACTTGCTTGCTCCAGTGTCAATTATTCCTGGGCAACCTACCTCGGCACTCAAAATTGTTTCGCTGTTTTCAGTCCTGCTGACACCAAGAACCCTCCGTAGGCGGTTACTCAAAATTGAAGTATTCAGGGATTGGGCAACGTCAAGACGACCAGAAACCTTGTGGTAAGATTCCGTCATAAAAATGAATTCTTCATTAACTGTTGGATACCCGTTTTGGATTTCCAGATGCTCAAATGGTGGGAGTCTCAAATGGCCCAGATTTCGGTCCTTGTCGCCATAGAGCAGTTCGTTCAAGGAGAGCTGCAAGTTGGCGTCTGGAGGATCCATCACGATCTCCTCAGCGCAGCTTCCACTCTGGACTTCGAAGGCCACATTCACTTCCGCATTGGTCGGATTGGAGGAGCTTGACTTCTTGGGGCATTCCCATTTCCAGTGTCCCTTCTGCCCGCATAACCTGCAGTGCGATGAAGCTATGCGATCGGCCAACGACTGTCGGCGTTTGCCTCCAGGCTTGCCACCAAAACCCTTCTTGAAGGTCTTGCCACGACCTTTCGCAGGCCAGAAGCCTCTTGACTTCAATTTGTCCCTAAGACGGCCACGTGCCTCTGAGTAGGCTGAGAAACAAAGGCTAAGGTCAGGGGATTCTTGACAGACCTCCACCAGCTGTTCTTCAAAGTCTTGAATGACTTGTGCGTCCTCATCCCCATTCTCGGCCATGGCCTGGAGAATCTGCTCTTCATCCATGTGATCTTCTTCCATCATCACATTGACTTCATCAGCTTCATCATCCACGTAGTTCACTGGGTAAACTCGTTTCTTGGTTTCACCTGTGCTACCTGCACCCAAAATGCGGGTATGCAAGGAACGCATGGATTGTTCGATCTTCTCAGCTGCCAATTTGCCTTGAGTCATCACGATCACCTTCCGCTTGTCATCTGCAACCAAAGCACTTTGCCTCAGCAAAATGAATGCCTTCATGTCTTTGACTTGTACTTCACCAAGATCCTGAAAGGCCACGTTCAAACGGTTCACATAGCTCATGACTGTCTCATCATTCCGTTGCACAATGCGATACAGAGCTTTCTCAAATTTCTCATACGTTTGCAACTCTGCTGACTCCTCCCAGGTGGCTACTGCTGACAACAGCACATCAATGCCAGTGTCGGGATCAGCCAGTTTGGCCGTATCGGCCGCTTTGATTTGGGCCCAGGCTGTCCCTTTCATCAGCATTGCCAGGCGAGGTCCAAGCATTGGTTTGTCACGAGCAGGGCAGATGCCATGCAAGAACCTGACCTTGTCCACATACTCCCTAGGATCATCACAGGCCGGATCAAAAGAAGGCAAAATTGACCAGATTGAGTTCGACCTCTCATCGGTCGAGGCCGTTGGTGTGACAGCAGCACTTTCCTGCTGTCGAAACATGGCTGCACTCCGAACTCACTGCCAATTGTTGGCTGTGAAGAGATGGCACTACAAAAGTTGTGTGCTTCCTGCAACTCAAATTAAGTGCAAAAGATTGAATTGATCAAACCTAAGGAAACCCCGTTCCTAACCAAAGTTGAGAAAATCCCTTTTATCGGACGCCTCCGCAGAGGCTCCGCTACCAATGTGAATCTCAGACCCTTGAGATTGGATTCCAAGTCACCTGCAAAGACCCTGCTCTGCTGTTTTGTTCCGCAACCTCCGTGGCTCCTCTCCCTCCCACCACTGTGGGAATGAAATGGCAAGGCCGAGCATTGGAACACGCGAGGACGGCAAAGCAGCATGATGGACCAAAAGGCACAAACTAGGTGAGTTTGACAATATATATATATATATACATATATATATATATACATACATACACATATGACGACCATCACCATCAAAGAAATTCATTGTATCCCCTGAAATATCACAAATATCACAATGGAACGACGCTGACGAGGCACCCAAGACCGAAACTCCTGCCGCTCCTGAGGCGAAAATCCTGTTGAATGGGGGGTTTGGCGGAGAAAACATGGGATGTTGAGCGATGAACATGGGATAAGATTGGTAGTTTAGGGATTAATGATTGTTAAATGATCGCTTGTGGCTTGTTCGGCAAAACTTGGTGATGATGCTAGGAAACAAGGGGATTTCGGACAGGGTGTTTGTGGACTTTTCGAGCTCTGCAAGAGGGTCACAGATGTTATCCCAAATCAAGATTGCGCATGATCTTTTGTGTGCCTTCCTGGTTTTTGAACAAAGGAACACCAACATTTGTTGCCGTTCATTTCGTTAGAACAAAACATGGTTCAGTTGTTCAGCTGCAGGCCACTGAAGCTGCACCTGCAGTAGAGGCCACTGCGAGCACTTCATCTCAGTTCTGAATGATGAATAATGTGGGGTTCACCCAATGCCATAAACAAGCATCATTTGCGCATGTTTTTTTTGGATGGCTTGTGGCATTGGATGAATCCCACATTAGTATATATAATATGGAAGAAATCGCCATATGGTAGAAGAGTGGTAGAATATCTGGATGACTTTGATCAATTACATCTATGAAGCATCGATAGAAAATAGCCATCATTATTGAATATCCATGAAGTATCTACCCTCTGGTGGTTTAATGGGATTTAATGGGATTTAATGGGATTTAATGGAATTTAATGGGAATATATCCTCTGGTAAACGTTTGCATAACTATGGAAAATCATGGAAAGATCCACCATTTTATAGCTGGGTAAATCCACTATTTCGACTGGGCCATGGCTTCAATAGCGATGTATGTATGTTTACCAGGCCGGGTAACCTTATCTAACCATCTATATCCATCTATGCGAAAAATGGTGATTTTCCATAGTTATGTTAAATTACCAGAGGGTAACTATTAACCATTAACCATAGATTATCCATATATTAACCATAGATCAACCATAGAATTCATCTTTTCATATCTTTTGGATCACCAGTGGCCACTGCATGCTGGGATAAAGCTCCCATAAATCCCCAGTGATTTGAGGTATAAGTTGGTGGTTCCTCCGTCTACGCGAAGTTGGTGAACATATCTCCAATAACTAGGGTTGATTAGGGGAAATCTGTAGTTAAGGGGATTATAAACCAGTTCTTTTTGGTGAATCATATGGGGGAAAAGAGTGAATTCATTAAATTTATCGCCAATTATATAGTGACTGGCGATTCATTGGTTCATTTGAGCCCTGGGTTGTAAGAGGGTATGGGTTGTGGAGTATCAAATTATCACTGCTAATCTTGGGGATAAATTGAATCATTTGACTGCGATGGGGGGGTCTCATTGAAGTCTCGTCTTGGCAATTTTGAAGTGTTTGCACATTTCTTTTCCAATTCATCTTTTCATTTCTTTTTAGATCACCCATGATTGATACCATGCTTTGGGCATAAAGCTCCCATAAATCCCAGTGATTTCACGATGCGTGCGTCCCTAAAACCTTTTCAGAAGTGTGTTTGATAGGCCACCGAAACACCTGCTGCACCAGCCGAGGCCGCTATAGCAGACTGTTGTTGTTACCCTCTGGTAATTTAACGTAGCTATTGAAAATTGCCATTTATAGTTGATTTACCTATTAAGCATGGTGATTTTCCATGATTTTCCAGAGTTATGTTAGTTTACCAGAGGGTATGTTGACACAAGTGCAAATGAGCCACAGACAGCCACAGATGATAACAGACCTTGGAAATCCTTGGAATTCGTTTCTCCTAGGTGTAGGCTTTGGTGTTTTTCAGTGAAGCCATGGTTGTCATCCTATCTCTTTGGAATGTACTTGTTCCCTCCGGAAGGCAAAGGCAGAAACGCCTCAGGAGACTCCGGCTGCTGCCGAGGCATCAAACTGTGACATTTGATCTTGGTTGGAGCTTTGGTTTGGGCTTGGAAAATATAAAGCAAATGTGATTCAACTGTGACATTGTGAATCATTGCCAGCAATTTGAGTCGAGATTTCGGATTGCTGTACTTGGTGTTCTCAAGGGGACACGGAGAGAGAGCCACAAGATTCAGGTCTCGTTTGAAAACTCTTGCAGTTGTCTCACGCAGGCAACTGAAGCCGCTGCCCCTGCCGCAGAGGCTGCTTTTTCATGATTCAGCGATTGGAGAGAAACCTTTTGTTGAAGCGACGTCGACGTGAGTTGTTCATGATGAACTCACCTTCTGTCAAATGGATTGTGGTGTTTTGACGGAGTGATCCACTGTTGGGAGGCAAAGACGGAGACACCAGCAGCTGAGGCATCAATGGGCAACCAAGCAGAGGGGAGAGTGTTGTTGGACATGTTCAATCAACGAAATCATGTATCTTGCATCTTGGAGGTTTTCCGGACAGCGGATTCTTTTTTTCATCCGTTAGACTTCAAAGCTCTCCATGAGCTTTTGCTGAAAGTGCCAGTTCTCATGAATTGTGACCTGTTATTTTAGAATGGCAAGAAACTTCGGCAACTTGTGAGCATAAAACCCTTTTCA